TTTGCCAAGTTTGGCCTGTAACTATTACTTATCTAGCCATTGGTGGGAAAAATCATAGAATGATTTGGGCTGAAAGGGGCTTTAAAGATTACCTAGTTCCACCTCCCGTGCACGGATAGGTTTCACTAGAGCAGGTTGCTCAAAATGCCAGCCAACCTGGCCTTGAACATACCCAGGGATAGGGCATCCCAGGCTTCTCTGGATAACCTTTGCCAGTGCCTCACCACCCTCACAATAAAAAATTTCTTCTGAATATCTACTCTACACTTACCCTCTTTTAGTTTAAATCAAGTGCTACACTTCACACATGGGCATCTCTTTCCCCATGAGTAAGCAAAAGGAATTTGGCAGCCTGGACAGGACTGCCACCCCTGCCAAGCCTGCTGAACCACAAAACAACTTCCCCCAGAGAAGCTCAGGTATTTTAAATTTGTCTAAACTGAATTGACAATGCCAGCTGCACCATTCAAAACTGCAAAAAGCCTTACAGTGTCCAGCCTTCTACCAGCATCATAGACATGGCTTTCTCAGAAATTAATTTGAGTTGAGAGTGAAATTCAGAATGGATTCTTTCCTACATGGGAAATCTAAAACTTAATTAGTTAATAAGATGCCAGTGCTTTATTGCTCAAGGAGAACAAGAAGGGAAGGGTTCTGTCCATATTCCTTTTTGCATTGGGGAACTGGTAGTCTACAGACAGGAGACAAACATGGGTACTCTTGATTTTTTGTTACAGCAGCAAGTCCCTGCATACTCCTTCATGAAACAGCTTGTCTAAAATTCTACTTGACAAACGTATTCTCTAAAGTGGTCTCAGAGATTTGTTTCATCTTCATTAGCAGTTCAGCTCTTTTTAATAACAGATTTTGAGGGCAGGTGAGAAGGGAGGGATTCTCTTGCTGACAACTATTGCTGAAAATGAATTTTAATTTGTGTGTGTGTGTGTGGAATCAACTTAACATGGACAAACCAGCCCCTAAAACAGTTAGGAAGAAATTAAATCTCTCCATGAACAGACCTGTATTTGTGATTTAGAATATCCATTTTGACTGCCTAGTATATAAAGACAGGTACAACATGGCAGTTACTAGTGTCAAGTTCTTGACCTAACAACCCAAGTGGAGAAAAAAACAGGATATTTTTATTTTCCTATATGCAAAAGCAAATGAGCTGTGATCTTACATACTTTTGGTTGTATAGAATAGAGATATTTTATTCTCATCCCACTTATGGGAACAGATCCTCATCCTCACAAGTGTGTGTAACGCCCTTTACACTTGATAGGAGATTTTTTGACTGTATAATGCCAGGGCTGATGACCTGACACTGTGTGTCTCTGAATTCTCTTTCCCAAGATCCAGAGAGAAGTCCGATTGTCTGGGAGAGCAAGGGATGCATCTGGGATCCAGAATTCCTGGCCTAAATAAAGCAGCTCCCAGATTAGACAAATTTGTTCCAGGAGTCAAAATAAAGAAGGAATAGAAAGGTGACAGAAATTTATTCTTGTCTGCCTAACTGAAAGAGTAAGAACTCCCCACAAACATGTGAAAAAAAAGAAATGCATATGGCAAATATGGATTTAGTTTAGACTGCAAAGTATACCGACACTTTTAGCATGTCTGTGGAAGACCTTGACATATCTCAATGGAGAGGGTGTCTATACAAACATATCAAGAGCGATTTTATTCTAGATTAGTTTGCACATATCTTGGAAGAGCACCATGCAAAGGATGCAGAGCCAGGGTTGACCCAACTAACTCCAGACCCGAGTTACATTCAGTCTTTTGAGTGGTTAGGCTTATTTTCTCACACACAGCACAATATCTCACTTTTGAGAGGAAGTTACTACACCTTCAACTGACTCTTTGACAACCCTTACCAGAAGGACCAGTTTTACTGACACCAATTCCTAAAGGCATGGTGCTGGTCTTTCATTAAATTGAAGGCACTGCTTGAAGAAATTGAGCTTAATTAACTTATGATAAAGCACTACTAAATCAGAATCTGGTATCTATTCTTTGGAAATAACCAGAATTTCTCCTTGCTTTCAATGAGAGGAAAAGACTTTATTTTCCTTAGCTGATAATTCCAATTAAAAAGTCTACAAATCACATCAGATTAATTATGTTTTATGTGAAAGTACAAGTGTATATATTTTACTTATTAATGTATTTCATTTGCGCAACTCCGGTTATAAATATTGATCTGTTTGGACCATTAACTGAAGTGCAGCTTTAAAAATAGAATGATCAAATTCAATAAAACCTAAATTTAAGAATAGTAAATTTTGTTTTTTAATACAGAAACCATCAGCTTAGCAGAAGCCAGCTGGATTGAAGAAGACATAGCTATGTGGCTGTTCCCCACAGCAGCCACTGAAATAGAGATTACAAGTGTATTCTTCAGCTGTTAAGAAGGAGCCTGGTTTCTTCTGCTGGTTTACTAGTGGCAAATTAGCTTAAAAGAGTCACCATAAATAGATAACATAGGGTAGCTAATGTCAAATGTGTTTATTAGGCTAAATGAGAGTATTAACCTTAAATGCAACGGGGTTTCCTGTCCACATCCAAAGTCATTCAAAGTCATTCAAAGGTGTGATTGGTGCTTGCTGTTATGACCCTGCATTCTGTGTCATCTGAGACTTGCAGGCTCTGCACTCTGGCCATGGTTAATCAAACCCTTAAAGATCACAAGGGCACTGAGAGGTTAATCATTATCTCTCTGTTATTCTTTTGCAAGGGAGGTAGGAATCTCAGGGGTAAGAGAAGCCTGCACAATGAAAAGGGGAAGGAATAAATAAATTATAGTTTTCTAGCCAAAGGTAAATTCATCTGTGCATGTTGGATTTATCATGATCAGAGAACAGTGCCTACATGATATAGAATACACAGAATGCAGAGTGATAGCAGAGCTAAAGGTGAAACTAAGAAAAAAATAAGAGTTTGTCCAAGCTCTGTCTGCAGAAGAGGTGATATTGATGCTAATGGTTGCCAAAGAAAACTCAAGAGCTTTGTTTGTGTTTATGGAAGGCTCTCACAGAGCCCTTTCCAACTCACATGTGACTGGGTGAAGAAATACGGTAGAGCTGAAAACAACCCACGCTGTCCCTACTACACCTGATACAGAAGGGGTGCTGGGGAGCACCCTCCAGGTTACAGCTCACATATCAGACTTGTTCCAAATCTGCCTCTGAAATAGCTGAATGTTCTATTTTACTCAGGCTGGGATGAGAAAACCAGACCAGTTTCAGCTCAGTTTGACCTAGCATTCAGCAGACACCAAGTGGAGGCTCACAAAGTTTCCTACTTGCTGAGCTACTGTCCTCTTGAAACAATCCAATGCAAGTAAATGCTATTTAAATCGATTTTGTGCATTCACAGACAAAATTGGTTTAAAATTTATTATGTGTTGTGGCTCACCATGTCGAGAGAGAACAGAACATACATTTTAAAAAACAAGCAGGTTTTCTTAAAATAATCAAACATTCAATAAAAGAGGTTTATTGCTGCCATCTTTATTTGTTAGTAAGGGGAATGGGCTATTTTACTCTTCTTCTTGCAAGCTAAGCAGTGTTGAATAACCACGGGAAGGATACAGGGATTTGCTTTATTAAGTTTAATAATAATTTCAATTGTCTTTGAATTTATTTTAATCTTGATTTAAATATATTATGCAGTGTATTCATCTCTGCAGTTCTCAAATTGCCCACTTGCATAAGAAAATACACTTCAGAATATGCTTATTAAAGAACATAATGGCTTTGAGGGATTTTCAAAGCAAAGAAACATTATAATCTTCTCTCACTGTAGTAGTTGCATATTTCAAATGTAGACAATGTTTGCTTTACGATTATTAATTATTATGGCTGCCAGATGCAATTAAAAAACAGCTTGTGCTCTTCCTATGGCTCCCTTCAAGCATTCACCACTTAAGTCATTACTGAAATAGCTAGATTAGAAAATACTAATGGCCAGCATGTGTATGATCTTTACTTCCCAAAACCCTAAAATAACTTGCAAAAGAGAGCCATTATTGACCTGTTGTTCTGAGGAGAAGAAGTGAAGGGCGGAGACATTCAGGCAAAAGCATTTGCCTATTTGAGGTAATTCCACTTGTAGGAATTGTTCATAGAGGGTACAAAGCCTTTTCAAAGGCATTTCACCACGTAGTGAAAGGACTTTCAAAAAGCTTTCAACAAGCTTCCTCTTAAAGGGCTTTTAATAAATATTTTCAAAAATACTCAAAAAAGAAAAGGGGGGAAGAGCGAGAGGATAAATTTGTTAATGTTCAATTATTCAGAAGAGTGGAAAGGAAAGAATGCTGTAAAAGCACACAGAAGTATGGCACTGTAGTGGAGAAAAACATGAAAGCCAAAATGCCGTGTCAGTAAATATGCAGTGATGCACCAGGAGACACAATTTAACCTGATATGTGCAAGGACAGGCTCTGAACTATCTGCCCTTCATCCAGAATGAGAGCTCCCAGTCACAGCAGCTGATTCCATAAAAACATCACTTGGCCCAAGAAAAACACAAGGGGATGCTTGGAAATACCAGGAAACAAATAGAGAATCAAGCTGTAAATGTAATTATTTCTTTTTATAAACCCATGGTGTGCCCATACTTGAACATTGCCTGCAGTTCTGACTTTCTGGTCAGAAAAGTTGTACAAGGGTGAGAAAACATTCAGATAATACCTTATATTCTTGTAACATAGACAAGAATAATGTCCAAAGTAGAAATAACTAGATTAAGACTCTTTTGCAGAGAAAAGAGAGAACCAAGGGTAGATGTGACACAAATTAATAGAAATGTCAATAACATCGAGAAGATCATTAGGAAATTATTTGATTTTTCACAGCTCAAGAAATAGGGGAAAAAATGACATTATCAGATGACAGGCTGAAAAGAAACAAACAAAAGAAGGCATTTTTATAAGCAGCACAATTAAACTGAGAAATTTCTTGCCCAAGATTACTCTAAATAATGTTTATTCTTACCAGTTCAAACAGCAATGGGGTCAATTCATGAAAATTATTCCACCAAGGAAGGTAAATCCAAAAACAATGTTTATATCCAAGGATTGCTGGAAGCAGGGAGAATATGTCAGAGAGGCATCGATGTATACTTGCCCTGTTATTGTGATTTTTCAACCATTAAGTACTTGACTACTGTTGAAAGCCAGCTACAGGCTAGATGAATCTTACCACCCCTTAAAAATGCCTCAGTTGTCTGAAGAGGCCCTCCACAAATAGAACTATTTTTGCTGATACAGATACTTCTGTTATTTATTGTGGTCAGTGGACTTGCCCAAAGAAGCCCAATGGATCCCGAACAGAATTTGATACCATAGATGATACCAACATCTGTGAATGATTTCCTCTTGGGTGGAAGGATGGAATATTGACTATGTTGAAATCAGCAGAAGTTTTGGCAACCCCTGCAGTAGAAGCAGGATGTCACCTCATTCTACCTGATTCCCAAGACTCAAATCCTCCCAACATATCAGCTTTTCTCCGGGTGACTGCCTAAATAGTCAACATGAAAGGACAAGAAGATTTCCAAAGTACAGAAGGTTGCAGCATGCTGTGCTGGTTTTGGCTGGGGTAGGGTTAATTTTCTCCACAGTAACTGCTACGGGGTGAGCTTTGGATTTGTGTTGAAAGCAGTTCTGATAATGCAGAGATGTCATTGCTGCTGCTGCTGCACAGAGTGAAGGCCTCTTCTGCTGCTTGTACTGCCTCACCAGAGAGTGGGCTGGGGCTGCACAAGAGGCACACAGCCAGGACAGCTGATCCCAGCTGACCCAAGGGATATTGCACTCCATATGGCACCATGATCACGGTGGAAAGCTGGGGGAAGGCAGAGAGGGGGTGGTTTGGAGCATTTGTTTGCAAGTCACTGCTACACGGGATGGAGCCCCACTTTCCTGGGAATGGCTGCACGCATGCCTGCCTGCCCAGGGAAAGTGAGAATGAATCCCTTGCTTTGATTTGCTCCAGCACAGCTTTTGCTCTGAAGCTGTCTTTATCCCAACCCATGGGTTTTTTCACTTTTGCTCTTCCAGTTCTCTCCTGACCCTGTGAGTGAGGAAGTGGTTGCATGGTTCTCAGTTGCTGGCTGGGCTTAAATCACAGCACATCTCTTCAACACCATGTGAGAGGAAGCGTTACTAAACAGGACTTTATACTAAAACAGCATACAAAAATGTAAGAGCACCATGACTGTGGAATTGGTCTGCTACAGTCAGTCTCATCAACACATTAGCTCTGTTTTAACATTCAGATAGCTGACATTGAAAGCAAACCTGATTTTGCATCTTAAAGAGAAGCATGTAAAATGTTTTATAGGCTTTCACACTTTATTTGAAGATTATCATAAAGTGAGATTTTTTTCATACCACAAAGAGTGTAAACCATAAACCTTTTATGACTGCTGACAGTTATCACAGTTTTATTCAGAGAATGATCTGGTCTATATTTTCATCAGAGTTGAAAGCATCAGAATTGAAGTTAGAAGTCCACAGGTGGAAATGAACTGTCCTTAATTGAAGAAAGCCTCCCTTAAAAAAAAAGAAAATTTGTAGTTATATGGGTTGTGCCATCACATTTTCTTTGGCCTTTGAAAAAACATTTGAATCAAAAGATTATTTGATTTTTAAAAATGAACATGTTAGTGGATTTCAAAAAACTCTTGATATAGTATTACTCAGGGGATGAAATGTGGTGTTATGAACTAGAGAATGAGTAAACAACCTCATGTAGCAATATACATTTACCATATTAACTTTTTCTTGATCCATACAAAAACAATAAAGGAATGAAAACAGAATCACTGCTTGTTAAGAAAACCTCTCTATAAGGCAGAATTTTCTGCCCATGCCTGACATGGCCCCATTTATCAGCGAGAGTCATTTCAATATTTCTTTAGGAGCAGTAATTTGCTTAACTGTGGCTAAGCAAGATGGCTGAAACTGCTGGGATACAGAGAGATTTTTTAGCCATGACAATTCATGAAGTAAACTAATCTTGTCTTGACAAATTAATCAAATTTTTGGGTTTTAAGTCTAAATCCAACAGATGAAGCTAATCCACTGAGGGTTTTAATAAAAAGAAAGGGGAAATGAGATGAACCATATAGCTAAATTATAACTATATAGCTAAATTATTGAAACTAGACAGTTGGAAAAGCAGAGACAGTTTGTACTTGTACCAAGTTAGATCTCATGAAACCATGTAATGGAATAAAAACCTTAACAAAGAATTAAAACAAAGATGGAGGACTTTAATTGAAAACTTGATCAATTAGCACAGAGGCCATAAGAAGGAGGCAACAGAGCATGAAATTTGATTAAACTGAACCATACGTCCTACTTCATTTTCAGCGATGTCGCAAAACTGATGACCTTGAAAAGAGAAGACATTAGAAGAGTGTAAAATAGCAGTTATCTCAATGCTGGCTAAAATAGAGAACTGATAATAAATATTGTAGCAAAGAAGCCTTAAATTAAAATCACATACATATTCAGAATGGAGAGATGGGTAGTCATAAATTGCAATAATTGACACGCAATCCAAATTTATTACAATGGATCTAGGCAGAGGGAAAGCAAGAAAGTGCCCTAACTCCACAAATTTGACAAACAGAGCAGATCATACTCCAGCTCGCTGACTGCTCAGATTATTGTTTGATAGTTGGCATGATTCTACTGCATTAGGTGATCTTTTTGTAGTCAGTAAAGTAGATTAAATTCTAAAGATGCATTGAGTATCTACAGTAACACAGCACTGGAGTCACAACATTATTCTTCTGTTTTGACCCAAAATAAAATCAGGAAAAAGGCACTCCTTCACCCATGTCATGCTACCACAAAGCTCCCAAGAACTCCTTTTTTTTTTTGATAGGCAAAATAATAGCTGAACCTGCTACACCCCTTTGGATACAAGATGCTTTTGTTCTCTTTGTTCTTGCTGCAGAAGGGTAAAGCTCTCCATTGCCCTTACAGACCCCTACAGCATATGCCCACCCAGCTGTGAGCCCTTATTCTCATAGCACTAAATGCAAGGACTCTGACGTTCCTACTGCCATACAGAACCACCAACATCAGCCCCAGCAACGTGGAGCTTACATCTTGAGCTGCATTTCAGCTTTATCCCAGCTATAAACAAACAAATTATGCCTTTCTGACCTAAATCCTGCTAAAACAAAAGGTTCTCCTTTAGTATTTTTTAACAACTTGGACTGACAGGGGGACATTGTACAGCTTCAGGGCTTTATGTCATGTGGCTGTGGTGTTCTGTTTCTCGACAATGCTCCTTGAAATTAGATTTACTGTCATGTGGCAGCTTAAGTGATTCTGAGGTGGATTTTTTCCAAAGTGTCATGTCCTTGCAGACATGCAATGCCAGTAAGATTTGAGTGAGATCATCCCAGGTTGTTTTTGAGAGTCCCACTCATTGTGAATTCCAAAACAAAACAATATCAAACATATATATATCATGTGATAGTTTTGCTATCAGTGTTCTGAGAAAAAAAAATGTCATGAGTAGAAATTCCTTGTAAGAAATTTGAAAAAGACCTTTTTAGGTTAAAGAGGATTTACATCTTGCTTTACCTGTTTGCGCATACTCAATGTAGAATAGTATTAGTATCATGTCATTTTCTGTTATGATGTCACAAAGCAAAAAATGAATATTTAATTTTATAATGGCTGAAAGTGAAAGGAATTTCTGCATGTCCTGTATCAGAAAATACAGCACTGTACTGTCTTGGAATAACTAAGTCAATTAAACACAATTAAATAGGTTGTCCACTTGGGTGCTTCTTACTTTACAGATCTACATCCCTCTGCAAAAGAAGAAAGGGGCAAGCACTGGTGTAAGACTGATTTGCAGTGATCAGGGCTCTGGGGCATCCTGTCATGGGGGAAAAGCACAAAGCACAGAGAACACTCACAACTGTGAGGAACATTTAATTTTTTCCAAATAATTAGTGAGTAGTTTTGTTTTTAATCTATTCCCTTATTTTTAGCTTCCTTTTGAATGGTCCACCAAATGTTTTTGCCTGCAAATTTCAGTCTGACCCTTTTAGATCTTTCTTAACCCACTCTTCTCTAATTCTATGGGAAATGGAGAAAAAGTCTGCAAACACTGGACATTTTTTTCATACATTTGCTTACATTTTCCTTGTACTGAGGGAGTACGAGCAGAGGCCTTCATATTCCTGTAAGGCTGCTGGTTTTTATCTTCTTCTTCTTCTTCAGTGTGTGTACAAACTTTCCTTTCCAAAGCAATGAAAGACACCAGTAACCAGTCAAATAGTCATATAAACACTCCTCTGAACAATATCAACATGGCAGAAGAAGGAGTATTATTTATGAAAACTGATTTTTTCCCTTTTTTTTCCAATAAAGCTTAGAGAAATTTGCATCAATTTGGCTTCTGGGTGTCCATGGCTTTTCTCTCTTCTCTTTTTTTTCCTCCCTTTCATTCATTTATTTCTAGTGGTTGATTCCTTTCTAAATTTTGTATCATCCATGAGAGGCATAATGTATTCTGAGATAGTACTAGTTTCATACATTGCACTAAATGAAGTGTATTGCTAAATACTACTTTTTTTGACAGTCAAGTGAGATATGAGAATAAACATAAAAATATCAGTACTAATGGGCTTCTAAGAAGGGAGTACAATCTGTTAATGCAACCATGTTGCAAAAAAAAAAAAAAAACAAGGAAACTAAGAATTAATTTTCAAAAAGAAACAAAATTACCAAAGCAGATCAGTAATTCACATTCCTCAGAATTCACAGGTGCCAGGAAGAGACCACCACTGTGTTTTAAATATGCACTGCTGCTGCATGGGCTGTAAGAACACAAATAGTCCCACAGTCCATTTTTAAAAGGCATTTTTCTCATCAAGCCCACACAACCTCACTGCTCAGCAATGGCTCAAAGATACAGTAGATCTGAAAAAGACGCAATAACAGCATATAAGAAAGACCTCTAGAAAAATCTCTTTGCTAGCAGGAATCACAAAATGAGTAGGGCATATTCAAGGCAGTTCAGCAGCTGCACTGAGTCATCCATCACATAGTGGCCACAATCATCATCTACACTGGCCAGGTACCTGTACCTGTGGAGGCTTTGCACACTCCTAACCCCA